TGGTGTGCATTTAAAAAAATAAAAATTGATTAATTTTTGCATACTATTTTAATATTGAAGATGGAAGAAAATATGCAAAATTTTCAGCATATTATGCTTTGTTATTTCAAGAATGGCAAAAACATAACTGAAACGCAAGAAAAGATTTGTGCAGTATATGGAGAAGGTGCTGTGATTTACTGAACATGTCAAAAGTGGTTTGTGAAGTTTTGTGCTGGAGATTTCTCGCTGAATGATGCTCCATGCTCAGGTAGACCAATTAAAGTTGATAGTGATCAAATTGAGACATTGAGAACAATCAGCAGTATACCACATGGGAGATAGATGACATACTTGAAATATCCAAATCAATAAAGTTATTGGTGAAAATGGAAAATGTGTCTTTTTATTTTATGGGAAAAAAAAGACTTTTTGGCCAACCCAGTATTTCCAGGTATAGTCTTGCATTCATCAATGTAAAACAGTAGTAAAAAAGATGTAAAAGATCATAATAAGAACATAAGGAAATTCAGTGGAAAAAAATACTACTTGGAAATTTTAAAGAAAGCATAAAACTATTTGAATTTTCAAGTAGTCATTTCTAATAATTCTCACCTGCCCAGTCAAATTCTGTTTACTTTTAATCTGATTCTTTGGAGACAGATAACTCAGTTTAATGTCTCCATTTTAATGTCCAAGTTTAATGTCCAAGAGCTGAAGCTTCCCTTGATTAGAATATAAAATAAAGTTCTGTTTTTTTCTTTGTAACATGATATATTTGTACTACATATTCCTGGTAATAGTGAAAATTTTAGATTGTCATTGTAAAAATCTGATATTTACATATAAATTGAAAGTCTTCATGTTAGTAAGGCAACAACACCATTAGAATATGCATCTTTAGGTATGTCCCCACTTTTACATAATCCAAGATGCATAAATTAGAGTATAAAAACAAAACGAGAAACTCAAAATCATCTTTCGTTCACTCCTCGCCCGCTTGATTTCTGCCCATCCTCCCTTCCTTCCTTCCTCTGTTCCCTCTAGTGAGAGGGGAATCAAAGAAAGCACTAGGTTTGAGTGGTGGAACTCTCACTGCAGATTCTTTGAGGGGAAAAAATAAAGATTCCTGTTTTTTTAGTTTAATTAAACCATTTCAAAATAACGTGACTGGTAGATTGTCTGTAACTGTCACTTTTCGCATCTTTTCCAGAATCTGTGAGCATGGGTCAGGTGCCAGCCTCTCTGCTTCTCCCTCTCTCTGCAATTATCAAACTGTATTGTAATGATCACTTCTCTCATTTGTCTTCTATTACAAACTCAACACCTTGAGGGAACATGATGAATGCACTTAGAACAGATTCTTAGCTCAACAAAAGTTCAATGAATGGGCAACATGACATCACAGAAGTTATAAACAGTATTCTGAACTTAACCCTGTTAAGTGATCATCTTGATTCTCCTCTGTGGTAACATGTTACAGAAAACTGATATTGCAAGCTTTCTGATATGGTGTGGTAGAATTGCTCTAATGGATTTGATAAGTAAAAAATCACTTTATCTGATGGGATAAAAACTGTAGCAATCTGAGGATGTTACTACTCCATGACCCTGCTGTCCTCACACATGTGATTTTCTGTTTAATGTTACTCAAAGATTGTTTCTTTTCTTGAATGTTTAATATGGTTGGAAGAGTCCCCTGCCCCCAAAACCAGTATATAAGGTCCTTAAACCTAAAATATTTGTTCCTTATTTTTCTATTTTTGTAATCATTATGCTTTAACATTTATTTGTCTTTGAAATAGAATGATGCTTTAGAAAATTCGGGTAGGGTGAAAACTTAATTGTCACAGTGTTAAAAGACAGGAGTTTTGGGATCATTTTGCATATTTATGTTATTCTCATGGAAAGGGAAATATCGAGGTACTAGGAAAACATTTTGCTAACCTACTCCTATTCATCAATGGAGTTTTTTAAAGAATAAGTGCTTCATAGGTATAATTGTAAATGTTTACACAGTTATCTCTGTGTAGTGTGTGAGCATACGCACCTGCCTGTATATTACCAAGTCTTTTGATTCTAAATATAAATTGTCTTTCTTAGGCTCTTCCTCCTTTGCACTTCCACTGCTTCTGCCCTAGATTTATACAACATTTTAAAACATAGATTTTTAGATTTACGAAATGCTCACACATTGTAAAAATTAAAATAATAGGGGTAGTTAAATGTATCTCTTCACCTTTGACCAACCATCCTTTACTGCAGATCTGGCTTCCTGAGCATTTGGCCTGGGCAGTCGCATGGGTCCTGTGCTTGGTCCATTGCGCTGCTGTTGACTTCTTGAAATTTTTAATAATTTTGAGCACAGGGTCCTGCGTTTTCATTTTGACTGAGCCTCGAAAAGTTTGTAGCCAGTCCTGTCACCACCTCACCCCTCTTCCACCCCTTTCCACTTATGTAATCACTCTGAACTGTTTGCTACTTCCAGAAATATTCTGTGTATGTAAGCATGTTTGCATTAGTTTTTCCATCGATGCGGTTATTCTATACATATTCTATACTTTTTTTGCCTCCTCAGTGTTGCATGACTGCATTTTTCCATTAAACAGCCTCTGCCTCCCCAGCACCCATTCCTCCTTCTCCCAGGCAGTCTTCATACTCCTGAGGGATGAGCTTTATGATTCTGGTTTTGCAGCTCTCCTGCTCAAACTGTGCAACGGGGGCTGTGTATAGAATAAATTAGCATCCCGATAAACAAAACAGTCTCTGTAGGACCATAGCCAGTGTGCTGGCAAGTTTGAGTTTCAGAGTGTGCAGGTCTGAAAGGACAGTTCTGCACCAGGAAGATCACGAAGAGAAGTCCTTTCTGCTAAGAAGCCAGCTAACTGGCCTCTGCCAGGATCACATAATCAGAACATAGGCCTTTATTTTTCGACTCTGTCTAACAGGTAGGAAAAAGTGATCTTCCCTGTGTCTTATCTTTACTTTGTAGAGTTGCTAATAATTAGCCTGAAATTAGCAAAGACAGTATTAGGGATTCATATGTGTGTCTCCCCAAAATGCCTATGTTGTAACACTAACTGTCATGTGATGGTATTAGGAGATGGAGACTTTAGGAGGTGATTAGGTTTAGATGAGGTCACAAGGGTGGAGGCTAATTCTTACAGGAAAAGGATGAGACTGGAGCCCTCTCTGCTGTGTGAGGACACTGTAAAAAGGCACCCAGATCTTGGACTTCTCAGCCTCCAGAAATGTGAGAAATAAATATCTCCTTAAGCTACCCAGTCTATGGTATTTTCAGATATACCGGAAAGAAGGCTTTTAGCTTTTTACAAAGTTGATTAATCTAAAGTATAGGATTAGATCACGTAGACTTATTATTTTACAGATGAAGAAAATGAGTCTGAGAAAAAAGTGTACATCATGTCCAAAGCCATGGAATTCAGTGATGAACTTAAATTAACATCTACTGCCTTTTGGGTTAATAGATTGTGACAGCTTGGAATTTTCCTGAACCCTGTAAATTCTGAGGTTGAAATGGTATTCTGAAGGGTTTAGAGAAGTCTGATTGTTATGGCAACAACGACTTTCATTGCTTCCAGTCCTGCATTTCTAAGCTATAAAGGTTGGATTGTCCAAGTTGGTGGTTAAAAATGCTGCGTAGTAGCCACTCGCAGACATGTGCAATCATGGATGAACTACTAAATCTCTCTGAGTTTTACTTTTCTTAGGTGGAAAACAACAGATATAACACCTACCTCACAGAACTATGATTAGAAATTAACAAGATTTTAACTTATCTGTTTGCTCAATAATTTATTAAGCAACTATTAGGTATCAAAAAGTGAGCTAACAGTAAGATTATGGCAATGATTCACACACGTATTTCCTGCCCTCATTAAGCTAACAGCCTGGTTGGATGTAAGGTGTAAGAAAGCATCATAGTTCCTGTACAGAACCAATGTTCAGTTAATGATAATATTACTGGCAATTAATAAATTTCTAAATGCTTTTCTTTCCTTCCTTTATTAAAAGTAACTAATACTGCTACTTTATCTTTAGAGATCACCTCAGTCATGAAAATAAGGGTGCTTACATTACAGTCACCATGAAGGAGACATTCACCTGTACCCCACCCCTAACCCCATCATTCTTCTGAAATCATTTGCTAGGAGGAAATATGAACATTGGCCTAATCTGAAACACTGGCATGCATTCAGTCCAGTGCCCTTTATTTTATGCATTTAATAGAGCTTTTTTTACAAATTGGTTTCTGAACTCAATCTTGCCCACATGTGAGAGCTTACAAACAGTTTTTAAGGAACTGCCCATCTAATAAAAAGTGCTTTGAAAATCTGGATAAGGCTTACTTACTTCATGGTAACCAAGCATGTCAGTCTATGTGCCCGGTTTGCATGTCCGAGAGCTCTGCTGGAATCTACCTAGTCAGAGTGCGCCTAGCAAGAAGGCACTGAATGTCCAAGAAATCAGCTTAGAAGCCGCACTAAAGGAAAAGCATCCTAAGGAGGTCCATGAGAGACCTGCTCGGGGATGTGAAAGAAATCAAGGTTAGTGTATCAAGACAGCGCCATGCACTCTCTCAGCTCCAGCGGAAGTGAGTCTTACATGCAGGAACATTTTGCTGCTTGGGTGAGCTGCAGATGTCTGTTTCGACTGCTGTGCCCTGCCAGAGCTACACTTGACAAGGCCAGCTGCTCGGAACTGCCAACTGTCAGTGGACATGGCAAGCTCTTAGCAATTTGTGCTGAAACAACCAGCATAGAATTGGATCAGCAAAGGACATGACTTTAATATCCTCCATCTGTCAAGGAGACTTATTTGGAAATAACTGAGTATTTTTGAGGAAGAATTGTTAAGGCTCTTCTTTGATAACATTTACATTGTTAGTTATTCTCTGCAAAGTGAGAGACTGGGAACTGGTCTGACAGATAGGACTGTATGGCCTTTGGTGCTGCAGATGATATAAATTAACGGCTTCCTCCACTGGATCTGGGACCTACCTTCCTTCCTCCCAGGCACTGCTGCAACTGAGACTTAGTTAGGACTCCATATTGGCAGTTGTGGGGCTGCCAAGTGATTTCTCTCCAGTCGCAGGTTCTGTTGTCTGAACAACTAAGGCAAGGCACAATCCATTGGCCTGGAAGAGACAGAAAAACCTCCTTTGGTTCAGTTTCTACTGATGAAATTATAGTTTGCAAGTAAGCTTAGGATTCAGCTGTGGCACCCCGTCACAGAAGTTGCAGTGAGAAGACCACTCTTGTCATACAAATTGGGTGGAGCAATGCATGGCCCCCTTCCAACCAAACAGAATCATATCACATGATAATGTTCCAAAATAACACAGTTCATACTAGAATCAAGCACAAGGTCTGTTCTGTGAAACCACATACTGATAAAAACTTATCAGGTACTACTCAATTAAAAAGTATATTTTAAAATAATTTTTAAAGATAATTATATTTTTAAGCAGTACATTAGGCCCTTAGGAGAACCAACGTAGGTGGACAGCCACTAATACTGAGGTAATTGGTCACAAACCTTTATTAGTTTAACTCACGCTTATGTTAGCAATCCAATAAGTAAATTACTTTAACATTCTGATAACATTATTTTGAAGGCTAGTTCCTTAATTTGATTGATGGCCTTTTGATGTGAATCTCTTCATTTTTTTCTAGCTCTTTGCCTTTGTTTCTTCAGCTGTTAGATGAGGTATGTACTGTTCTCACATGACTGGCGTGAGGATTTAATGGGATAATATATTTAATGTATCGAGCACAGTTACAATATCATATTTGCCTTTGCTACTAGCAGACTTTAGGCACAAAGTAGGTCACAAGTTTTAATAAATGTTTATAAAATAAATGAATATTCTCAGTGTAATTAAGGTCTTTTCTATTCATAAAGTAATATGCATCCAAAACACTTGGCTTTTTGTGTGAATAGATACACTAATAATTTATTAGAAAAATACCAAGAAATGATTTTTGATTGTTCTTCATTTATCTTTTCAACAATGGAATGTGGGCTAGCACATTAAACATGAAGTCATCATTTATCTCCTTTGTGGAGAACACCCTGATATCTACAACAATAATTTGCCCTACCCTCAAGTTCCTGTTTATGTTACCACTAAGTGTTTCTCTTTAAAATATTGAGGAGCAGAATATTCCCAGCTACTTTTTGAATTAGAAAAGAAAAATTCAAACAATTTTATCCATTCTAGCTTTGATTTGTGGTTCTGCTAACAGAAGTATCTGGTATTACATTAATTTTAGCAGGAAGAATTTCTCCTTTCAAGGGATGAATATGGTACAGTTTGCATTTCATGACTTCAGGGATGTCAGAATTGTGTATATAAGTACATGTGTGTAAAGAGTCATGGATAACAAAGTTTGAATGTAGATCTAGTTTATGGCTAACTAAATGATTACAGAAGTGGAAGGAGTGTAGGTATGGTAAGAGAGAGAAACTGGGGGAGATAAGAGAAAATATTACTCTCTTGCAGGATTTTAATTTAGTACTTTATTGAGGGAGCTACCCTATTAGATGTTAGATGCTATTGCTGTTAAAATATCACAACAATTAAAAAAATAATTAACAGTTTCATAGCGCTAGCGACACTCTGAGCACTTTTAATAAATTAATTTATTTAAACCTCCTAACTATGTTAAACCTCAAAAATTTATAGTCATGTTCCAGGTTTATAATTTACACATGTAAAATAATTATAGCATAATAATAACTAATGCATAATTGAGTAAAACTATCTGTGTGGTACTAAAGAAGCCTGGGCTTTGGAGACACACATCTGGGCTCTGCCACCAGCTTGCTCTGCGGATCTTAACACTGCTCATTAGGGTCACCTGGAAAGCTCGAACTCCCCATGCCTACGCTACTAGACTGACTGAATCAGAGCTGCTGGGTATGGGACTCAAGCAGTACTTTTCAAGCGGTTCTCACGTAATTCCATATGCAGCCAAGGTTGAGAACAACTTTTTAACTTGTACAGATCACTTAATATTTTTTCTATAAGGCAAACACAAGGGAGGACCCCGCAAAAACTGGCATTATCTTCTTGAGGATGGGCCCTTTGTAGTGCAGGTTTCCTCGCTAGATGAGTGTTCTAGGACCCTGTCTGTATCAGTGTACCAGCTGGCGTTCCTGTGAGAGGCTGCGTTCAGCCTCAGTGAGTTTTTTTAAAGTCTCTTTCAACATGTTTGCCCATTTCATGATGGGTGCCCATTTCATGATGGGTGATTTACAAGTGCACCTGCCCACACCATGCTGAGTGTTCAGTAGTTTTTGACCAAAACATCATGACCCTCATGCCCTACCCTCCCTGTTTACCTGATCTTGCCCTAAGTGACTGTATTTGTTTCCCCAGAAGAAAAAAGTCCTCAAAGGGAAACGTTTTGCCAATGTGGAAGAGGCGAAATAAAAAACAGCAGAAGCACCAAAGGGCATCAAAATCAACAAGTTCAAAAACTGTTTTAAGCAGTGGGAAAAAAAGTCTTAATAGGTGTATTGCATCAAATAGAGAGTAGTTTGACTGAAGTTAAACATGCAAGAATAAATACACAATTTTTTATAAATAAATTCCAGGTTTCTTTGGGTCCCTCCTTGTATGCATAGCACCTCCCATAGTGCCTGATATCTAGAAATTGGTTAATTTATTTTACTCCCTACCCCCACCTTAAGTAATCCATGTTAATTCAGAATAAAGAAGGTTCCGTGGGGGCAAGAGTTGTCTGGAAGGTTCCATGGGACACAAAAAGTCAAATCAGGTCTTATGGATAAACAGGATTTGGACGTGTGGAATGAGTGGTGCTGTTGGGATAGCAATGAGGTGGGCCTGAGGCAAGACTAAGGATGTGACTGGCCCCCAGAATAGACTGTATATATTGGAGAGAAAAAGGTCTGCTAGGTGACAGGTGTTTCCAAAGTTTCCACACGTAGAGTATAGCAGTACTACTAAAAGATACAATGCAGAAAATTTTAGGCATGTTTGTTTTGTCATCCAATTTTCTTTTACAATTTTTCTTGTGTTTTTCATTTAACATATAACTTTCCTTCTAAATGTAATTTTGACCTGGCATACAGGGTTTTTAATCAATAACCAACCCCTTCACATCATTGCTTGGTCTCTTCTAATTCTATGCGACTTAGACAATAGCCTTATGTTTAATGTTTGTTGATTAATTCCTCAAGAAAATCTCCATCTGGAAGAGCCTTTACTTCATAGAGATTAGCATTTTGTGGGCATATAGAACCCTCTTGGATGGGGTTGGAATGGGCCTTGGATCTCCTCCTTTCCTTCCTCCTCTTTTAGAGACGAGATTAACTGAGGCCCACACAGTTAAGTGACGGTAGTGAAATGGTAGTGAAATCGTCTGCCAATGACTGGGCTGGACTAGAACTGAGGCCTAGGAGTCTCCAATTTGCTGATCCTTTCATTATGTTGGGCTAGCTCAGTACAAAATAAATTTAATTATTTCAAATACCTGAATTTATTCAGTGGGTTCATGTGTTGATAGAGACTATGTTTAAAATAAAAACATTGTTAATTTTCATTCTAATAGGATGTTGGGATGGTGGGGACATGACGGTGCTTCTGCTAATGAGATTATATTCAGTAATATTTTGAAGGGCTCAGCTTTCTTTCCTCAGATCCTTGACTATCTAAAAGCACTTGCATCCTTTCTTGCAGACACTTCTCCTAGCCCCTCACCCTTTGCTCACAGCAAATTTTGCACAAACTGAGTCCTTCTTTGGAAACTTGCTGCTAAGGCTGAAGAAACAAGTGGCCAAATATAAGCACAATGATCCAAATATGGGTGCAATTAGTTTGTGGACATAAAATCACAGGCACATAAAATGGACAACTGATTGGGCCTCTAAAAATTTGGCCTCAGTGGTTCACACTACTATATATTTATACAGTCATAATTCTTTTTGTGTTTTTTTGTATTGGTTAACAATGCCTTTTTATTGAGTTAGTAATACTACTTAAAATAGACATCTGTATAACATCTGCAGGACTGGAATTCCATGACATTTTAAACAATACCAGCTCTTAACTAAAATTGTCAAAAAGAAGGACATAAATTCTATTGAATGATTCAAAGCTGTGATTTTTGAAATAAAGTATAGCATATGTTTTAGAGAAAAAACTGCCTTTTTGGGAGAAGTTATATGATTTATAATTATAGCTTTGTACTTAATGCACGTTAGATTTCAGTCATTTAAGTGAATCAAATTGGGCAATATAATGGAGAAAAAATTTAAGTTTGTAATTTAGGGTCACAGCGAGATATAAAATCATACAGATGATAATTCTAATTCCAGACTTTATAATGCTATAAAATAAAGCAGTTTTGACTTACAAAGAAAAATACTGCTCATATTTTCAGTATTAGAAACATTAAAGTATAAGTTGTCATGTTTTCTTCCTAAAAATATGATTAAGCTTTTGTTTACATATCATAAGATGAAATCTGAACTATTTTCCTTAAAGGTAATTCTCATTTAACAGTCATTGTATAAATTTCTTCTTTTTCCAAATTAGAAGAATTAATTTTTCTTTGTTAAGTAACAAATTTTATTCTTATGTTATGTCTTAAATTATTTTCTGAAGATTAGAAATCAACTTAAGAATTATATAAAACAGTCACTCAAGAGTATATTAACTAGTGTTATTAAAAGGACATTTTGACCATCATTATGATGATAAGTTGGAAAAATGAATGCAGTTCTGCCAAATGCCTATATTGTGCTGTGAAAATCAGATTTTAGAAACAATCGGTGGCCTAAAAGTCAATAAGCTAAAGCTAGAGCTCCTAAATAACCTCCCTGCCCATCTGTCTCCCATGATAATGTCTTCCAACAGGAAGGAGCACTACTATCAATGAAGGAAATAATCTCCAGCAGCAAAAAATCCATTCTCGAAAACCTCTGTCCCTGATCTTACTCATTCCCTTGGACTCTTTAGACCTCCACGGTTGAGCAGTTACCCCTGGCTGCTCACATTCTTCGGTGGAAGGGAGGAGGGCTTGGATATTGGTTTTAGTTCAGCAACCATTATTAAATCATCTATTAGACATTGATAGGTGAATAAGGGACAATCTCTGCTCTGGAAAAACATACAATCCAGGGCAGTCATCACTCAAAATGCACTGCTAATGCACCTTTGGTATATTAATATACATACACTAACATCTATGTGAATACTCCTATATATGTTTATTATAGGCATTATAAAACAAAATAAGAATAATTAGATAAATATAAATGGTGCTTATATTTTAATCTTTACTGGCTTTGTCCTGTGTCACCGACCCATTCAGATGCATCATTCCACTTTACAGACTACTGATTAGAGAGAGAAACGTGTAAAATGAGCACTTGAAACAATGAGGTAAGTGCTATCGTAGACCTGTGTCCAAGGTATTCTGGGAGCAAAGGAGAGAAGCTAATCTCAGGGTGGGGTGGTAAAGAAAGACTTCCTGGGGAGGAAGATACAGCATCAGGAGAACTAGACCGAGATGGGAAGATGACTGGTAGAAGCAGGGAATAGCGCGGACAAAGCCTGGAGTCCTGCAGCGCTGTTGTTGGCGTGGAGTGGGACTGAGAGGCAGGGAGGAGTTGGGAGAGACAGGAACGGTCAGATTATGGAAGCCTGGAGTTGTCAGATTAGGATGACGGGCTTGACTGGGGAGTCAGCTTCGGGGGTTTCTCTAAGGAAGCCCAGCTGCTCAGGTTACCAGGAGGCTCCTGCTCTACGGTGGCCTCCCCAGGCGGCCATGGCTTGGTGTCAGGGCCCGGCATAAATCACCACAAATCTGACAGACAGGACCTCTTGAAGAATCTCAATAATGTATCTTCAACTTTCTGTTGAAGAACTTTTGACTTCATTCAGAGGAGGAACAGAATTAAGTTGTTTTATGATTCTCATAAATTGTCATCTGATTAAAAAATACTTACTAGACACATTGGTGTCTCCCTTGTATGCAAGAGCATATATCTCATTTAGCTGAGAGAATCATAAACTATACCACCTGACACACCATAATGGGTAAGTCCCTCTTTATGCACTGACTGTAATTTATTATTTAGAACACATGTTTGAGAACGGGGACATGCCCACGTTTGTTAACTGTGCATGCCAAATTGCGATTCGTCCTGCCCATTTGTGAAACTCATTCCCCATTTAAACCGTGGTGTGAATGAAGTTCATGGCAAGGGTAGAAAAGCTCCTGAGTATTTTTTTTCAGACTCTTTAGATGAAGGGAGGCCTGGGGTCAGGAGGTTAGAGTGGTAACCAGGAATCTCAGAGATGGTCCCTGCACCTCTTATCGTCTGGGCAGCATGTTAGTCCCAATCTTCCCTGAAAGAGGCTTGTCGGGGGAGGAGGGAGACAGGGAATGTGGACCATGGCTCCAAAGCCTCTCATTCATGGTCTGCTATCGGCTTAGGCAGGACTGAACACTAATTTGAATTTGACATCACAATTTTCCTGCCTCTATTAACGCTCAATATATGGAATATATTAGTGATTATTCCCAAATACTTTTTTTAATTAGAGAAAATGATTTAAAACTGAACATGCATTCTTTGCCTTTCTTTGATTCATATGGTCAACAGATACTTATATTGTACCTACTCTGTAGAAATTACAGTACTAAGTGGATGGATACACTGTGAACAGCCAGACTCCTGTCCTTACACAATGAGAGCCTGGGAACACTAACATTAAACAGATAATTACATACTTAATCATTTAAATAATTCTGGGAACTGCTATGGAAGAACAGCACAGGGTACTATGGGAATATAGAAAAAGGAATCAAATCAGAGGCTCATGGAAGACTCTGGCACAAGTCATGTTTGAGCTGAGATCTGTAAATGAATATGAATTAATTGGGCAAAGAGCAGAGTGTAAAAGAAAAGTATTTAATTAATCAAAATATTTCACATATTAAAATAATGCATTTCGTACTAATGAAAAGGTAACTTGTTACCCTGATTTTTTTTGCATAAGGATTTTTTAAATAAGCATATACTTATCTATATTAAAGTTTTAAAAAGAGATGTGATATCCAATGTGATAGTCACCTTTTGTGTCCCCAGACTGACAAAGTTTTAGTTCTGGCTGAGAAATGGCTTCAATGTAGTCAGAGGGAATAGGCAGTAACCCACAGGTTTCCTCCGGATGGATTGGCAAACCACAGTCCTGCATGAAAAGGATAGAAATTAGTTGTCATAGTAATTAACCTGCCCCATAGTAATAAAATCTAAAAAAATAAGATTTTCTGTGCCAAATAACTTTTATGGATAAAAGGGAGCAATTCTTGTTTACTCTTTTTAGTGAATTGACTTATTAATAGTTCTTCGTGCTACAAGTACACATAGCTTTTCACATTAGAAGATTAATAGAAATTCTAATGACAATTTAATCTTGGTCAATTTTTAAGGAAATAGATGCAAGTTTTACTCTGAAAATATATTTTTAAAAAATAATGTGTTGACACATTAAAAATATGCTATAACAGAGGATGATATTATCCTCTAATATTGTGGGAAAGACATAATTTGAGAAGGAAGTAGGAAATATTCTGGAAGAATGCTAATTTAACAGATTAATTTTATTTATTAAGGAATAATGATATGCCAGAAATGTAATTAAATACATGCATTTTATTCCAAACATGTTCATATATTTATAAAAGTAGGTACTATCTCGCTGCCATGAACAGAGTTACAGGGGCTTGTTCTGTACTATGCACTGCCTTCTATTGTCTGACGTGCAGTGGAGAACAGTGTCTTTAGGTTCTTGGAAACCTCTCTCCTTATCTCTCCTCTGCACCAGCAGGTTGGAGCACTCTCATTTTCTCTTAGCTTGTTCTTCAAAGCTATTGGCACCTGTATCTGTCCTATGCCCTACCCTACCGCACCTGCTTCCACAGCCACCCTTCTCACAAGGTTCTCTTAATCCACCACGATTTAGGGCAGGTAAAAATGCTGTAATCTCTCTCAGGAATTTTGCATGGAGAGTATCTTTTTGTGTTTTAGGTCTCAGCAAGGTCTTCTTGAAATTCTAATGCAATTACATATCCCTGTTTTTGTCTACACCAGCACCATTTGTTTCCTTCCTATTATTCACCGTTTGGTAATTAGGTTTGCAATTTGAGTCTTTTCCACTGGACTGGATATTCCATGAGAACAAACAGTTATTTCATTCACACATATACCCACTACCTACCATACAGTAGGAAATAATAAATATTTTCAAATACATAAAATGTTAGAGTTGTCTCCCTCTTTATGTAATAAATTCTCAATAATGGAGGGAAACAATCAGTTTGACCTCTTCTTTACTACCTCTAATGAACAATTACTAGTCACCTTCCTCAAACTTTCGAACATCCTAATCCTCAATTCAGACTCCCAGGTCTCACATAAAAAGTCCAGAAATTAAGAGATGAAAGCCATGGAGTGGTGTATGACTTCTTGAAACTCTTGATTCAGTAAACATATTTTCCCTTTTAATTCATGATTGAAACTGGAGTTTAAGATAGTTATTAGAGATTAAGAATGTGATTTTATTAAAATGTTCATTATAATGAAAGAATAAAAATAACACAAAGTTTATAATGTGAGTTTTTGGTATGAATAATCATCTGTGAATGGGATGTGTGTGTGTATGAGACATCTGTCTATACATTTATTTTTAGTGAAGGCTAGGAAAAATGTCATTATGCATGTATCAGATAAAAAGATTTTATAGTAAATGATAGAAGACAGTGAGAAATAATTACCATCATATAATGCTGATGGGAGTGCAAATTGGTTCAGCTATTTTGGAACACAGTGCATACTAAAACTAAAAATTCACAGACTCCATAGCTCTGAAGTCAGACTTTAGAGTCTGCTCCAGAGAAACTCTTATGAAATGCAACAAGAACATGTATAAGGAAAGATCTAAATGAATCTATGTGGAGAGATTTCCAAGACACATAATTAAGAAAAACTGAAGAAATGTTTTGTGACAGAACAATATATACCATATGTAACACACCATGAACATGCCACAAAATCACCTAAAATCCATATATTTCAGACTAAGTTGTGTTCAATTATTAAATATATATATTATTCATTATATATAATCACATATATATGCAAATAATGTTGAAATATTCCTTAAAGTCTGGATTTAGTTAAACTTTTGCCTGAAAATTATTGTTTAGGGTCTATGTGGTATATACATGATCACATCCTAGTATTCATCCAGAGGGCATTCAAAAGTCCTCTGCCAAAACCTTTGTCTATTGTATGGAAGGCCTGTATGTAATTGACAAATATCAGTCAATGAAGAAGATGCACTGTTATGTGTGCAGATGGCTTGCCCTGTGGGGAACCAGTTACAACCACTGATGACTGGGTGTGCAAAATTTCAGGTAGGTTAGAGTAGTGTCCTTTCTGAGGAGTTGGCATCTGAAATGAAGGATGCAGATAATTGGGAGATGAGAATTCCAAGGACAAATTGCATGTCAGAGGCCATGAGGCTGAATTTATCTGACATCTTAAGTTTTAAAAAAGTCATTAAAAATTATGCTAACAATCTATATTTTAATATCAAATTGTGTAATTTTCTGAAGATGGTACCTCTAAGATTACCCATGATTAACACACATCTCAATGGAATAATGATTCATTTATAATGTGGTCCTAAGTAATGTGGATATATCTTTAAAATGGAGAGGTATTCATTAAATATCTGCAATGTGTAAAGTGCCATACTGAGAATGTAAGGCCTTGACCTCAAAATACATAGTCTAACTGTTCATCAGAAGTTTCTTCTTAATCTTGAACTGAAATCTACATCTTGTTTGTTCTAATTACCCTCTTATCTGTAGCTTAGAAGAGATTTACTGTAATAATACAGAAGCATGTTCTGATCTGATTTTAAAATTGCTGAAACAAATGACTGGCCAGAGAGGATGATATCTTAAAATGTTCAATGTTTACACTTTTTGGAATACCCAGGATCCCACATATGAGCCCGTGATAATAGAGTAAACATAATGCAGAACACAGAAAACCAAAGTGTAAGTGGGAGTCAGACTGAGTGGCCACCCCTGCTACTTAAACCCATGGCCTTGTCTCTGTTTGATTCCTTGGGTCAACTTCAATTCGAAATTCCCATTGAGCACATGCTGCACACCAGTTGATATATCATCCCTGTTGGTTCTAACTAAACAGCCACAGCTCTAGTAAATCCAAGACATGGCAAGAGTCAAAGCAATATGCAAAGGATAGACAGGGCAGAGAATAGGAGAAGGATAGTACATTTTCACTTTTCTGTGACTTAGGCCGAAAAATATTCTATTCTATTCTGTACTTTCTTTTAAATTTCTCCTGAGCAGTTAATCTTTGCTTCCAGTTCTTATATCCCATTCCTTTATGTTTTGGAAAGTCAGGACAGTCTGATGGAGTGGATATTAATCGTTTTCTAGGTTCAGCCAAACAATGTTACCCTTAAAATTGAATAAAACAAGGCATATAGCCTGATACAGACTCACATCAAGAGACTGGCTGACAGAGTTGATCAAGTTTTGAGAAGAAAAGGTGGTATCAGTATAGTTGGGTGGGATTTTTGCAAATTTTAAGGGATAAGAGAATAGTGGTGTACACTGGAAAGAGCACCACTGTGTTGAGTCACACTTGTGAATTTTAGTTCTAGCTTTGCCACGAACTGGCTGTGTGATATTGAATAAGCCAGCTGATTTCATTTTCTCACTGGTAAAGGGTGAAAGGTGGAGAGAAGAGAGGGAAAAGTTGTATTAGATGTTCTTAAGCACCGCAGCAGACAACGTCAGGTGCCTGAGCAATATCCATTCTCCTTTCCTCCTTTCTAACAGAAAGACCTTTCTTTTGTTGTAGGTAGCAATGTCTCTAGCATTTAAAAGCCACCCAAACAAAACTCTATTTCCCAATCCCCTTTGTAGCTGGACATGGCTGTGTGGCACAATTCTAGACAAAGAAATGTAAATGGAGACAGACTACAGATTTCTGTAAAAGTTTTGTTTCCCTGGTGCCACTTTTTCTTTGTCATTCTGTTTCTTCTGACCACTTGGAATGCAGATGTGAATCTGAGAGAGAAGCAGGTATGTTGTAACCATGAGGCAACCTGGAGTGGAAATATAAAAAGACTTTGGGCTATGTACTTCTGCACTTCTTGCTATGGAAGAAAAACAAATTCCTATTTGGTCAAACAACTATAGACATCTAAGATGCAGTCAAACTTCTCTCTTACTCTAAGAATCTTAGGAAACTTAACTCTTCTCAGGCCATATAAACCTTTTTCAGTTTTTCTTTAGATCTTAAAAGTGACTACCTCCAGTAATTAAAAAAAAACCTTAAACAATCTTGAAAGAAAAAGCTCATCAGTATATTTCATTTCTTCATTGGTGTGATTAGTAAATTGGTTAAGTTCAGGCATATTCAAGAACATGAATGATGGCTTTTCTGATCTTAAGTGTCATCTCTTAGAGCTTCCAAGTCTAGATACATGAAAAAGGTAATACTTTGCAGTATTGGTTAAGATGATATTAACCCTAGAAAGCTCCACATTTAGAGTGTATCATTTTGCTGGAGATTTCTCAAATTCCTGAGCAAACTGTCATAGATCTCAGTAGAATTCAATAAGATAATTAACAGCGGTTTTCTTGTTCAAACATGCACGGAGTATATATGTTTAGTACATAATTTTACAAATATAATTCACTTTTCATGCAGTACTGCAGTGACTAACAGAAGATACTGAGATGCCCTTGGTTTTGCCCCATGCTCTACCTATTAGTACATAACCACTGTTTCTTTTTATCCATTTCTATGAAAGACCATTTAATTTTTTACAGAGTATTTAATCACAAAGGAATTAATAGTATTTGTTATTTTAATGTGATATTGCTATATTTTCAGAGTAACATCAACTTGGACTATTCAACCTGGCAGGTATTTTTAAAACTAACCTACTTTTTTGGCCTCGCAGAATCATTCTTTAAGGTGAACCAGTTTTCCCTTTTCCTCATTAAAATGAAAAATTCCCTCCTAACAATAAAAGTATACATTCATCCCTGACTGGTGTAGTACATTTGGTTAGAGTGTTGTCCCCGTGGACCCAAAGGTTGTGGGTTCAATTCCCAGTCAGGGGGTACAAGCCTGGGT